TGAACTTTTTTCAATGCTTGACGGTAAATAAATTAAATTTATTCTACTTTTTTTACACTGCTAATTAAATTTACACTTTAATTAGTAACTGTAATAATATAATTTACTTTACCTGTAATTTTATTACTGTGTTAAAAAAACAACAACATTATAACTAATTAAAATTAGGTGTGTACAAACTAAATTTAAGGAAACGGCAATGAAATCTATCAAAAAGCTTTTGGTTTAAAGAGGTAATTTTGTGAAGGTTCCTTTCGACTCATATGTAAGGTTTTTATACCAAACAGTTGAAGACATCACAGTAAACACACAAACGTCTATTAAACGTCAAAAAAAAAAATAAGAGCTATATAGGTCTTGAAATTTATAAATAAGATATAGTTGAATATAGTTTTTTTACAGCCGAAATATTATAATATTCATATTTATTTTTGAAGATTATCATAATCTAGTCTTTCCTCTTAAAGATTATAAATGAATAGTTCATTTAAAAAAAAATCTTTATACCAAAATTTGCGTTATTTTCAATATACCTAATCATCTTATCTTAGGAAACCAGTTTCCTAAGCTTTTTTTAATGGAACTCAAAAAAACTTAATAAAAACAAAAAAATAATCACAGAAAAAAGTAATTAAAAATTGCATCTTCAAGGACTATACTTAAGTAAAAAGTAATTATCTCAACAATAAAAAACAAAAAAAACAATAATAAATCTTTTCTATCTCCAAAATAAGGCTTCGCGGACAATAACTTTAAAAAAACGCGCTTTTCCTAATAAAAAGCTGCATCTCATCTTGAGTGTCTAAAAACGTATCATCTTAAACAACTTCACCAAGTACTATCATTATTTAAATAGCATGGAAACAGCTTATGTATTATCTCATATAACCCATGGATTTAGCAGTAGATAAGCATAAAATATTGAGGATGTAATAAATTTTTGATGATCTTATATCGTTTTGATGTAATTACAAAATATTGAATAATAAAAAGTTATAACAGGGATAATAAATTTTTTTAACAGTAAAACAATCAAAGAATTTAACTATACAACTATATACAGAAATTAAAATAAAGAACACCGTCGAACTTGTATGAATATTCTTAACCAAAAAAGTTTGCGAAAAAATCATTAGTCTGCTCGTAAAAGAGGTTATACCATCTTAGGAACCTTCCCATCTTACGCAACTTTCCACTACTTATACTATACTTTTATATTATTAAACTATATATAAAGTTATAAACTTATATAAAACGTTTTCATATAGTGGGGATTTAGAAATGTTTGTACGCTATACTTGTTTATGTTTCGGTAATTAAAAAAAATTACATTATCAAACCTTTTGCAATGGAAAATTTATAATCACGATTTCAATCAAATGTTTTTAAGATTTAATCTCATTACCATAAAATAAAAGTTTACATTAAGATTAAGTCAAAGATTACTAATAAAATTAATAAACTCATAAACAAATATTTTGGATTGCTGTTTTCTCTGGTTTATACATTATCAACAATCTTCCTACTGCTTCCTACCGTCTACCGCTTGTTCATCATACACCTGTTTGTGCAACATCATCTTCTACATTGGTATCCTGATCATCTGATTTCGTAACCTGATTTGTAACCGCAAAAAAACTAGGGTAAAATAGGTAGCATTTTAAATGGAATTACGCAGAACTACTTAACATAAAGAGGATTTTCTGAATGGAAGTTTCCGAAAATTCCTTTACTATCCATGTTTATTTTTGACAATAAAAAAATTAGTAACGTCGCGACATAACAAATGCAGTGGTTTTTACCAGCTCTGTTCCACCAATTTTCTATAGCAAATGTAACTAAATTAAGCTAAAATGCACCTAAACTAAAATATTAAATATTTTGTTATTAAACCTCTTGATTATTGCAAAGATGAATACCTACAGTTACACAATCATACTAATGTTTACAAAATGAATTTAAAATGTTTATTAAACTTACTAAAAAAGTTCTTGCAGCAGGACTTTCATAACGAGAGACCAGCAACTCATATTTTTAACTGTCTCAATGTCGCCATCAATAATTTCTAAAAAATCTGAGTCCATTGATTTGTTGGCATTTAGGAAGGTAGATTGTCGCGTTAAGAGCTTTTTAACTTCCATGAATTAAAATGGCGCACCCAAAACTCGTTTATTATTTATTTATCAGTCATTTTGTTTTTGTTGTAAGCAAGTAAATCCACAAAAACACATTTAAGTTTAATTTATTTATTTAGTCAATAAAAACAAATGTTTTAATAAGTCTTTTGTTTCGTTTTAATTAGGCCTATTTAAACCGGGTGACTTAAGCTGTTATGTGAGTCTTCTGACCAATTGCTATATTACTATGTTATAATATAATAAAAGTTTATTAAACAGATTCAAAATTTAGAATAACAACTTATATTAATCAAAATTGTAAACGTTTGATCGACGTTTAATAAACGTATATATTAAAAGATTTAAAGCGTAGACTTTAAATCTATAAATGTTTACGTTTAATTAAGGTCGATTAAAGGTTTACAATATTAACTAATATAAGTCGATATTCTAAACGTTAGATCGACGTTTAGTAAACGTATATATAAAAAAGTTTGAAAAATACATTTCAAATCAAGCGTCGATTTTTAGTCAATAATAGGTCGCTAAACATGTTATCAGTTTTTCGACCGATTACGATTAAATATTGACCAATTCTGAACCAATCTGTGTTTACTGGGATATGACAGAAAAAGTACGTGATCAATTAAAAAATTCCTTTTCTTTACATTTTTATTATCAAAAATTGTACATAAAATATGAAGAACTAATGACAATCAAATGCTATAAGAATACATGCAGATATTTTTAATAATTTTAGAGTTTTTAAAAAGAACACGGAAAGAACAAAATTGAAAATTTACTGTTTAATTATTTGCTTAATAAAAGTAAATGTCGGTAAAGGTATATCGGTAAAGTTAGGTAGAACTCAAGTAAACACTGAGTACTCTTACCATGCCATATCATGTCATAGAAATGATTTATGTATGTTAATACCATGTCATAGAAATGATTTATGTTATGGATACATTATGGGTGTAATGTTAAGGTAAACAATAAATAACCATTATCACAAGCTATGTACTTTTTTGTTCTTTTCTTGTTTGTTTTTTTTAAAGAAAATGCCTTGATAGAAAATTCAGTTTAAAATTTGTTCAAGTATGTTTATGTGCGTAAGGTTAGGTAGAGCTTATAAACCTGGAATGGTAATCTCCCTTGTGATGACCTAAAAATTTAGTACTGTTTTTTGAAATAGATTATTGGATAGGAAAAGTGAATTTTGAAAAATTACCTAAAAAACTCCGTGCAAGATCTAAAGAGAACATCATGTTATTGAAAACATTCTAAAGCTCAGGATGGAATTGTAGATTCAAATTAGCAAGAACAACAACAACAAAAATCACATGTAAATTTCAACATCTAAAATGAAAATGTGCAAGGCATTCAGTAGCATTTCTTAAAAGACTTGTTAAGAACAAAATGCTATATGGAAGTCAATTGCTTTTTCATGACATTACAATTTACTCAATATTATGTTAGGTAATTGACCTATTAACTACATACAGATCGATTATTGTTTACTTGTTTCTCTCTACATTTTATGACTATAATATTGGGCTAGACAAATCTTTTTTAAATATATATAAATAATATAAAGTAAATAATGCTGTAAAAACGGGTAATAACTTACTAAATAGGTACATGTTAACCAAATTTCTCTTTTTTGTTAAAGAACCATGTTCAAGGAAAAATTCAGCATAACGATTTGGTTTTAGATGAACTTAATATATTAATGAATACTTTCTCCTGCATTCATTAATAGATCAAGTTCATAATTTAACTTCTTTCAAATCTCATCAATAAAACTATATGGTTTCTTTTAAACGCAATTCGTAGATTATCACATACGTTAAACCTTTAAATTAGACACATAAATAAAGGTATTACTGGATGCAAAAACATAAATAACTTTTATTCTCGAAGCAATTTAAAATTTTCTGTTACAGTTTTAAACTTAATTTCCAGACTTTTTACACATAGATCCAGATCAGATTAGGCGGATTGACCACTTAGTTACATGCCACGCCAGGCACTTTTTAAATTTCCTTAATCAAACATTTCTATTTAGTACTCAGATTAGATTAAGCAAAAATTTTGTCTAATGCATAAAATTGCCATTTTGCCTAGTCATAGTTTTAACACTCTAGCGATTTTTTTGCAGTTATGTTATCTTTTGGGCAACTCCGTAACCGCGAATAATGACAAAATTTTGAATTTGCAGAAAATAAAGAATGATACACATTAATAGCAATATAATATTTCTCCTTAGGCGTCCGCCTAATGTGCGGTACTGTAGATCCACCCCTGTATTTAGAAGTTCATCTTTTTTTTTTTCAAAAAGAGGAACTACTGGGATAAAAAAAAGCATGTTTTTAATAAAATTTTTAATTGCTTCTGATAAAAATCAAATTTATGCATTATACACGGTGATTCAGTACTTATGCAAGCTTGAGATTTTATTATACGCATGCGTCTGATAAAAATATTCAATATTAAAATTTGTATTTATCGTGTTAAAAACAAATAAATACCTTACAACATTGTTTCCATTTTAAATCCAATTTTTATGAGGTTTTTAATAATTAGACAAATGTAATAGTATTTTATATACTTGAGCTGTTTTGTGCAAAAAATCTGAGTGAAATTTATGTTTGAACATTTACTACAATAGTTAAAACAGAAAAGAGTAATATTGTTTAAAATAACACTTTATATACATTTCAATTATGGACGAAGCAAAATTTTTATGACATGTGGATTAGTTTTTAATAAAAGTATTATTCATTGATATTCAAAAAATATTGACTTCTATAACCTGTCATTTTTTTATAATATGTTATTTCATTATTTAGCTAAAAACTTTTCAAAAATTTTATTTAGAAGATGACTGAAAAACATCAACAAAAGTTATTAAGAGTTTGCAGAATTTGTGGAAATTTAACAGGAAAAGACTCTCTAACAACTGCCAGTAGGACTGAAAGAATATTTAATGTTTTTAAAATAAATACTAAAGAAGATTGTGTAGAGGTTCATCCACCACAAATGTGCCTAAAATGTTATTCAACTATGAAGAATATTAAAACACGAGGAAATAAACTATCTAAGATTAAACCAAAAATTTGGTTAAAATGTCCAACAAAGGAGTGTATGTGTATTTATGGTAAGGTTGGTCGAAAACCATCTCCAAATGTTGGACGGCCAGGAGTTTTTAAAAGATGGACACAACTAAATATAAACTTGTTTCTTGAATCCTTGCCCTTACCTTTAAACAAAAAAGAAATTTCTGAATTCAATATTCAGCTAAACCCACATATAACATTATGTATTTGTAAAGTTTGTGGGAGGATAATGCATCAACCAGTCATGATCAAAGATTGTCAGCACTCGTTTTGTAGTCAATGTATTATATCAATTATTAAAGGTAAGCTAGAAAATGAAGCAAGATGTCCTGTTTGTTTAACCTGCATTATGATTAATAGCCTTTGTAGTTCTGTTCATGTATTGGAGATGATTGAACATTTGTATATTGCATGCAAGATTTGCGAAAAAAACTTTATTAAAGACAAGTATGAAAATCATGAGTGCAAAAAAGATCATTTATAAAATAATTCCAGCACAATAGTTGATGATTTATTTAAAGTTGATAAGTCAAGTCATATTCCACGTAATATTGAAGATGCAGTGTTGCATGTAATTAAACAAAAAATGGAGAATTCAAAAACAACTACAATTGAATTTTTATCTGGTGGCCCAAGAGTAAGAGTAATAATATTTGTAAAGTACATTAATATAAAACTTAAACTATAAAATTTCTTGTCTGGAATTTTGAATATTCATAATGATAAAGATTGCTGATATTAGGTTTATGTATTGATATATATTTTTATTTTAAAGCCCCTTTGCTTAACTGTTATGCCCAAAGCCTACAAGGAAAGTGCATCTTGCAGTGGTCATACCTTGAGAAAAAGACACAAACACCTAGTGGACCAAGCTAATCATCAAGTTGGAAATTCAAGAGATTCACTAGTAGTGCAAACATCAGTTATGCTTAAATCATTTGATCACAATCAAAAAAATAAAGTTTTAGAAAGTGCTAAGATTGGAGTTGTTGAGTTTTCTGCTGAAGAATTGGTTGCTTTTAAAGCAAATGTAGGGGTACCGTGGAATAAATTAAAAACTATGACTAGGTAAAATTATTTTTTTAAATATTTATTGGTTAGTTTATTTATTAGTGTTAATTATTTAGAGATTAATGTTAATTGATTTATTATTTAAGTGAATGTAGGTGTATATTTAAAAATGCATGCTTTTATTAATTTACATAATAATGCATATATAAGTAAGCAGTATGAAAAATAATTTAGTGAAAAAAATGAATAAGTGTTATTTACTAAATATTGTAGATGGTTAAACTCAAGAAATATTAAGACTGCTTCAAACTTTAAACAAAGAGTAGTTGCAAATACCTGGGCAGGAAATGATCTTGTTGTATTAAATGGAGATTTTACATTTCAAAATGAAAATAATAAGTCAGTTTTTGAAATCAAACATGCTCCCTGGGCATACATAGACAATCTACCCACTAATATTAAAAACCTGTTAGATATTCTTGAAAGGTATGGATATTTGTACAAATTTGTTACTTAAAAATCTAAATATAAACTATTGTAAAAAACTATTTAAGCTGTATTTTTTTATGTTATATTTTTATTTTATTTAAATTTATTAGTTTTAAGTTAATAAAACATGATGGAATAAAAAATGATGAAATACACATAAAAATTGGAGGAGACCATGGAGGTGGTTCATTTAAAATGAGTTACCAAATTGTAAACCAAGACCAACCAAACTCAAAATCAAATAGTATTGTATTCAGTACATTTGAAGCAAGAGACTACCGAACTAATCTTAAAGTAGGGTTATCTCGATATACATTACAAGTTGATGAGATACAAAAAATGATATGGCAGTAAGTTACTATTTCTAAAGAAATAAGCATTGATAATTTAAATAAAATTCAAATATTTTGTGTTAATTTAATATATTTTAATTGTTTTTAGAAATCATAATGTTCGTGTTTTTATATTTGGAGATTATGATTTCCTTTGCAGTGTATATGGAATCACAGGAGCGAGTGGTAGGTTTGCTGTACTTAAAGAAATTTTATGTTATTTGATGATAATTTTTTTTTAGTTATCATAAGTAAAAACTTTTGTAAGATTGAAAAATTAAAGTTTTAAAGATATAATTGTTTAACTCCATTCAATACTGTTACTTATGGTATTATAGGTCGACATTGCTGTCTTTTTTGTGATATAACCAAAGAAAGTATCCAGTTGGCTCCAATTAGTAGAGAGAATGGTGTTTCACAATGATCTCTAAAATCTTTAAACATTGATTTTAATCAATTCCAAAGTAGTGGAGGAAATTTGAAAAAGGCTAAGTTTTTCAATAATGTGATTAATGAAACTTTGTTTCACATTCCTCTAGACCAGGTAATTTATTTTTAGCACTGTATTTTAGTTTTATTTTGAGGATTTGTATGGCTTTAAGTGTTTTTAATAGTGTTTAATTTTATTTTTAGGTAGCAGTACCTGCTTTACATATATCTTTAGGAACCTATTTGAAGTTTTTTAACATGTTTGAAGATGAATGTCACTTGTTAGATATCAAACTTGCTGGAGAGCTTGCACTAAAAAATAATACAATTGGTAAAGATGATTTTGACAAATACATTAATATGCATATTCAATCAAATCTTATAAAAAGTGTTATTGAGGACTGTGATAATAAAATTACACTTTTACAAGACACAATTTCATTAAAAGTTTTATGTGAACCAGACAGAACAGAAGAAATAAGGAAAGTATATGCACCAAGAATACTTTACTATGATTTAAAAAAAACTGATAAGGTATTTATTATTTACAAAAAAAATATGAATTTAATTTAGACTTTAGTTAGAATTATATTTAACATAATTTTAGAAAGCCAAAAATATATCAATTTCAAAAATTTACAATACAATTACCTACAGTTTCTGTAGCATATATTTAACAAGAAAAATATTTTTCTAGATGAAAGAACTAAATTCATTAAATGAAGCAAACATTCTTGATAAAATTTCAGGTCCCTGCATTCAGCAACTTGATGAAATTTTAAAGGCTAATCAGGTACAAAGACAGGCTTATCATGGGAAATGCTTTGTTGGAAACCATGTTCACACAATGCTTAAGGTTTTTTTACAGATGTTTTATATTAAATATCCTAACCTGGTGGGTTGGTTATATCGATCAGATAAAATCTTTTTTTTTTTTTAATTTTTTGTTCAGACTGCTTTGAACACATCGGCCACCCCTGCGTTTTGTTAATAAAAATATTTCAAAATTATTTAATTTAATTTATATTTAATTTAGCCTCAACCTTTGCTAGATTTGTGCAACTCTATTCCAAAACTGATTTCAAATCTTGGTTTTATTGATACAGACGTTCATTTACTCTCAGTTAATGTGAGCCAAAAATTTAAACAGTTGTTTCAATATTATTCCAAATGTCATAACTTGATGAACAGCTCACAATCATTTCAAGAAAATGATGTTCAGGAACTTGGTAGGTATTTAAAATCGTTTTACGCAAACTGTAGTTGAAGTTAGCATATTCTTTAATGCCATAATAGTTATTTTGAAAAACATTAATTGGTTGCTTTTTTTAGTTAGAATTTGAGGAATTTATTTAAAGAAATTCAATTAGGCTTTTTTTTTAAACATGTAAACTATTTAATTTTAGAATCAGCAATCTGTAATCTTATGGAATTTTATAGATCAACTTGGCCAAATGCATCTGTAACTCCAAAGATGCATTTGCTTGAAACACATGTTCTTCAATTTATTCAAAAATGGGGATTAGGCATTGGAGTTTATGGAGAACAAGGCGGAGAAAGTTTGCATGCTGATTTTAACAATCTTAATCGTTTGTTTTGTCATATGAAAGGTTGTAGCCGCTTGAAAAGCATGGTGAAAGAACATTATGTAAGAAACCATCCAAAAGCTAAAGCAATGAAGCCAGAAATTAAAAAGAAAATTTTTTGATTTTTATGTGTGTATATAATATATATATATATACACATACATATACACACATTCAACTTTGTTCTGAGTATCAGAGTGTTCTGGTAAACACATTATAATATTCTTGATTTAAAACGTGCACGCATTGTAAGTTTAAGGTTAACTTGAACTTTATGTAAGGCTTTCAGAGTAGAAAATTCTTCCATTAAAAAGCTAAAAAAACTACGCAAAAAATGTTACCAGCCTGCCGTTAAATGCAGTTAACTTTTTTTAAAAAAATGACAGGTTAAAACGAAAGGCATAGAATTTTTAGGCATGATTTATAGAATTTAAAACAATTGAACTTTTTAGTCAAAAAATTTTCAAACAAAAGATATCCCTCTAGTTAGCTAACAGATATTTTATTTTTTTTATCTAAAAAACCTTACATTTTGCTCATTAAAATTTTCTTTGTTTACAAAGATTCTTATTTATTTTTATGATTTACTTAAAACCTTCTAGAATGTAAGACTTTAAAAATATATAGTTCAGGTTTTTACACGAGGAATAAGTAATTGTTTAATAAAATACTAAATCAACGAATTTTAGTTATTTAGATAAAAACTACTTCGCCATTTTTTTCCGTAATTAAAAAAAAAAAACAAATGTGCGCATGCTCACAATAAAATATCAGGCTTAAATCACCGTGTATACTTACATATTTTCAACTTAATGATTTTTGAATAAATTAAAAAACAAGAAAAGTCAAAGAAAAAATAAAAGTTTTTGCATTATAGTTTTTTCTTGTTTAATTCAGTCTTCAAAGATTATTGGATTGAATTATGTTAGTGAAGAGGTAGCCAGTTTTTATTCGATACACATTTTGTACAACAAGTCAACTTTTTAAAAGTAAAAAAATATTCTGGTTACTTCTATTGTACGAAAATTCAACTCAATTTTACTGGTATAGACTGTATAGAGAGCCGACATTGATTATTCTCCTAAAATAATAGTTATTTATACTTACAAAATACAAAATGATATAATAAAAAATCCAGGCGCGGATCAAAACCGTATAGTAGGGGGAGGAGGTGAGTTTTAGGTTTAATGATTTGTAAGCAGAGAAGCCGGCTAGTCATACAACTTTTCAGTAAATTGTTCTTAGAATATTAGTCTTACACTCCGGGTTATTTTTTTAATTTTTGCCCCTCGCTATTTTACTTAAATATCTAATCACTTTTAAACAGCCTTCCTGATTTACTTTTTTTTCCTTTGCATGTTCTCTCTAAATCAGTTGATGTATGTACTGAAGCCCCCAAGCATATACTTCAAATCTTTATTCTCGCATTTTACCCGTTGAAAACTTCTACAAATCCGCATTTTACCAAATGCCTAAAATTTTACTGGTTACTCAAGAGTTTCCATAATATTTAAATAAAAGATTAAAAAATAAACAAAAGAGGTTCTTAATTATGATTATTTACTATAGAAATAAAAGGTAAACACAAAAAGTCGTTGGAACATTAACTGAAACTCATGTTGTGAGTCAAATAATAGGTTTAAAAGTTCTTAAGAAGCAATTATTTTGAAATTTTATGTCTACAGTAATTACAGTATATTTTCAAGAGCGGGGTGGGGTGGGTGGCAGTAAAGTAATTAGCTTGTCTAGTGTTGTGTAGATGTATTGTATTCACTGGCGTAGGAACAGGGAGAGGCGGAGAGGGCGATAGCCTCCCCCTTTTTCTTCAAATTGGTAAGTCGGTCTCTAAAATTAGTTTGTCTTCATCTACATTATTCACATAGATTTGCGCCAAAGTTTTACATTTTTCCTCCAGGCTAGGTGGTTCGATTTTCTTCACTCGACCTACTATTAGATTCCGAGAGCCATAGGAAGGAGAAACTGTGAGAAATCTGTCTTTTATTTGTTAAATTAAAGTATCGCGAGTGGTGTTCTTCAGCCGTTTTTTAAAACGTCATAAGGTAAAAAAAATCAAAATTGACTTTTTTAGAAAATAAGCTTATTTAAATGCCTGCAAAGATTATTAAATAATTGTTTTTAAAGAACTTTGAAAAGGTTCATACAAATTATAAGTTTCAAAAAACGTTTTACAAAGACTTTCTTGTATTATTATTTTTAATTGCGTTTTTCTCGAAATACATGAAAAGCATCTAAAGACGTTCTGAAAAACGGGTGCAAACTGCTTTTCATCGTTTTCATAGAAATGAACTTCATTCCTTGCTTCTTTGTAAAAGGTTTCCTTGTCCTTTTTTGAACTAACTTTGACTAAAATCCATAACTAGCTAGACCGGAGGTAACCAAATGTGCTTCATTAATTAATTCGGGCCTAAAAGATCTAAATTCATAAGATTCTCGATAGGAACCCTCATAAGCTTCATCTCTTCATCTAAAGTAGTATTTCCTGATTGAAATGACACGCTGACAATTGCTTGGCGCGCTTCAAACTAGAAGGTTGTCATGATAATAAATACAAATGAATAAATCCATTTCTCCAAAGATTTTACGTCATTCAATAGATCAGCAGTTAAATCAAGTTCCTGAAGTTTCTGTAAATAAAAATTTATTTCTGTAGGTTGCTTAACCAACGGCTTCAAAGTCTCAATCCGTGCACTCTATCGGGTTTGTGAGTTTTAAAGAAGAGACAAAACGCCTTGGTCAAGGTTTTACATTGTATACGGCTTCCACTAAAAAGATTGTAGAGTAGCTGAATCCGGCCAAAATAGTTCTTCATTTTTACAGAAGATTCAAAGGAATGAACACCAGCTAGGTTAAGGTTGTGAGCGCTGCATAGCATGTAGAAAACTTCAGGATTTCTCTGAAGGATGATCGCTTTTACTCCTTTGTTCGCACCAGACATGTTGGCACCCTTGTCGTATCCTTGACCTCGACAGTTTTTCAGATTGATGATGTCATTTTGATCCTAGACATCCATAATTATCTTGGCAATATCCACACCTTTCTTTTTTTTTTTAAGATTTTTGACTTTAAGAAACCGCTCATTAACTACCCGTCTTTTATCAAAACCATAGTCGACCAAGCGGAAAACAAATGCAATTTGCTCATTATAAGAGACGTCAGGAGTTCCGTCGACGAGAATAAAATAGTAAATTACTATATGCGCATCTTTTGTGATGGCACCGTGGACAATTCTTCCGCACTTTTTTATAAATTAATTTTGGGAACTCCAACCCAAAAAATGCACAATTATTTTGTTTACCTTCATTTTGACACCAGGAAACCTCTTTCTGACGTAACTAAAGGGCCTTGTCGTGCTTCGCGAGTGACCCTAGAGTCCCAAGAAAATTGCCGTTATTGTCATCATTGATCATTTTTGAAGAGCCTAAAACGATGATTTTAATACATACATATATATATATATATATATATATATATATATATATATATATATATATATATATATATATATATATATATATATATATATATATATATATATATATTTGATTATATATGTTCTTTTTTAACCAAGTAGCCCTTAAGAGTATTTTCCTGCAACGGTTTTGGCTAGTGTCAGACTCCCGAATATGAATTCGGCTAATGCTGTATTGTTGAGTAAACAATTCATTTTTAAATTAGGAGTTTAAAGTGTATTTCATTAAAGCCACTTTTTTTTTATTTTATATATACATATATATATATATATATATATATATATATATATATATATATATATATATATATATATATATATATATATATATATATAAATATTTGTGCGCTCCTTCTGATCCTGCGCCCAGGTAAAAAGTATCCAGTGACTCTCCGCACCCGCGGCGGCCCTGTATATATATATATATATATATATATATATATATATATATATATATATATATATATATATATATATATATATATATATATATATATATATATATATATATATATATATATATATATATATATATATATATATATATATATATATATATATATATATGTATATATATATAATATATATATATATATATATATATATATATATATATATATATATATATATATATATATATATATATATATATATATTAAATTGAATTTAAAAATATTTTTTAAGATTAAGACATATGTTTTATTTAAAAAATTGTCCTATTAAATCATTTTAAGAAATCACAAATTTCATACGGAAGTATGTACGAAAGAATTTTTATATAAACAAAAGTGTGTGGTACACACACGTTTGTTTATATACAAATTCTTTCGCTTTTGAAAAATATTGATTTTTCTGACTAAAAGTTGTTTGTTGTTTTTTAAAAAAAATCTTTATTTAATGAATCCATAAGTAAAGAAGAAATACGCTTGCTTGTATTATTATATTATTATTTAACCTTCATATTTGTCAATAATCATTGCCTTGGCGCTGCGAAACCATTGCCGCTCACCTGCTAAAAGTGCCACATATTACCTTTTCACTACCGAAAGTTCTAAACCATCCCATAACTTTAAGTAAATAATCAGAATAAAATATGAGTTTGCAAAATAGAATTAACCTCGATGCCCCAAAGTGGCCACAGGATAATTTTGTGGGAAGATTTAAACATTTTTGGTCAATAACTGACTGGCGAAATGGTTTAAATTCGGAAGAGACATTTAACAATGCGAAAATATTATTAAATTCTTATAGGTATAATTTACTTTAGCATTTAACACTATATAACACGGTCGTGTTTTTATATTTTATTCATTGTTCAAAAGATGTTGCAGTCAGTTTAAGGTATAATTAAGTGACGAAATGAATGAAGTATTATCAAAGCTAACATTATTGGCATTTAAAAAAAGATTGTTAGAATATCAATAAAAAAATATTTTGTTTTTATAGATTAGGAAATGAACCTCCAGGTACAACCACAGAACAAATTTGGCATGCAAAAAAGCTTTACGAATCATGTTATCACCCTGACTCTGGTGAAAAAATGAATTTAATTGGAAGAATGTCATTTCAAGTACCTGGAGGAATGTTAATCACTGGATGCATGATGCAGTTTTATAGGTAAAAGCAAATAGTAAAAAATAAATTATGTAATAGTGTAGCATTACTTTAAACAATTGCACATTTCATCAGTTACTTTACAACATTTTTTGTAGTGCCATATTTTGAGATGTCAGTTTCTCCAAACATTTGCCTTATTAAACCTTGTTAAAATTAAAAAAATAAATTATTATTATTATAAATTCATATTTTTTTTATATAAGTATGTTTCAGACTGATGATTTTTGCTTTTTGAGTTTTATCTTTTTTTTGCTATAACTGTGAACTCTGTTAGTATTGTTAAGATTTGATAATTTCTATTTTAGATAATAGTTTTAAAATTAAAATTAATAATATAACATATTTTAATAATCTTTATATTGATGTTAAAATATTTCTTAAATTGAAATCATACTGAAAATATGCATTAAAAAAAACTGTTAACTGATTTAATATTTAGTTATTATATGATTAAACACAGACTGTAAAAATTTTAAATCAAAAAGTTTTAAATTTCAAAATTACAATTTATTTTTATTTACTTATTAGTTTTTGTTTTTTTTTGCAATATAAAATTTTTACATTGAAAATAAAATGTTGTTCGACAAAATTTAATTTTTGTGTAAAATCATATATATATATATATATATATATATATATATATATATATATATATATATATATATATATATATATATATATATATATATATATATATATATATTGCTTTTTTTATATTTTATCTCAATAAAAGTTTGTATTTGAATGTTAAATATAGAATTGTAGGTTTTGAGATGTCTTGAGACTCATATTTAACTTTCTTGGTCTTGTTCTTGGCCTTGGTCTTGAAAGCCTGGAGTTTTAGTCGAACCTTTACTGTCTTGTACTTTCTTAATCATTACAAATTATATCAACACAATGGATTGATTAGTAGTTATTAATAAATTGTTAACAAAAGTTTAGCATGTTAAATTGTTACTAAGTTCAACATGTTATGCAAGTTATGAAATCAAGTGACACGCAATTGTATGTTTTATTTCACATATTAAGTACTTAGATAAAATATGTACTTTTTTTTTTTTTTTTTTTGTATTTATAGTATGTGGCTAATATAGTTAAAAAAAGCAACTTGCATGTCCTACATATATATGCGCTATTCATAGCTCCACTATGTGATGATATTGGGTTTCTTTTTCATTGGTACATTTTGATTTTAATAATTTAAAAAACTTGTTAGTTTTCTGTTGAAGTTATCTATTGTAGGCTGCAACATGTATACATACATGTTTAAAACATCAATGTCTTGATCTTGGTCTAGTGAAAATTTTAAAAGTCTTGGTCTGAATTTTGGGTTGACTTTTTGATGTCTTGGTCATGGTATTGGCCTCAAAGTCTTAGCCTTGGTCTTTGTTTCGGTCTTGAGCCCAAATGTATTTGGGCTCAAGACCATCATTTAAATTTATTCCCTTTGGGTAGGTATAAGTTAAAATATTGACCACTATTTAAATTTATTCCCAAAGGAATGGGCAACTTACTGGACTGATGCCAGTATTTTACTACTACTCTTTTACCTATTACCTCCACATCCTAAAATGAGCCCAAATGCTGGAACTTTTTGCATACCCCCTATTCCCCACTTGAAATTTGTTAATAAAATAAAAAATTTATAATAATTTTTAATAAATTGAATAATCAATAATTTTTTTTTTTGTAATTAAAAAAAAAGGGAGAAAACTATAAAAAAAAAACATGAAGTTTGTTATTTAAAAATTTATTTATTTCAAAATCTAAATCATTTTTGTATTTATTTATAGATTTATTCGCTTAAAGAGTGCTTAACTTTACTTTTATTAAGAAATGGTTCAAAATTTTAAAGCATTAATTAACTCCTTAAAATAAAACTACCAAAAAATGACCAAACTTGACCTTATTGACACTCAACCATACGAGATGTTTCTTAATTTATTCGTCATTTTTTATTTATCAAAACATTTTTATTATTTATCATAACATTATTTTTTATGTTATTTTAAAATGAAATTATATTGGTGGTGTATCTATTTTTATTGCTCTTGGCTTGTTAATTACTGGCATGTTAATTGTTAATGAGAACTAAAAACCAAAGTATCTTGAAGAAATATTGTTTAAATGGAAAACACCAAAAATCTTACTGTGGAAGCAATTTTTAAAAATTTATTTAAAAGTTTTAAGTTGACATTAAAAATAATAATTTTCCTTTATTTTAAGGAAAAGTGAAAATATAAATTGCTATCTGTTGGTAAAATATATTTGTATAATTTTAATGTAATATGTATATATTGTCTCTATACCAAAACATCTATATAATGCATGCATATACTATTATGTATAACTTTTTTTATTATATAGTTATATATATTTGTTCATAAGTATACGCGTGTTTAGCTTATTTGGATAAGGCGTCAACTTCATTTGTGGATTGATTCCCAACTCTAATGGAAATCTTCCAGTTTTTTTACCCGCCCCCTTCATTTTGGTCTATTATTTTATTGGTGAAATATACGTAAATAATTAACAATTATTAATAATTGGGTAACAATTATTAATTATTATTATTAGTAGTTGTTCACCAATAACATAGTAGACCAAAAGGGGAGGGGGCGGTTAGAACTAAACATAGATAACCAAATGTTAAAATGCAACAGGTATCCAAAAATACAAAATGCTAAAAGACTGAGAATAAAAGGCATAAAGGAACAGAAAGAAAAAAATATGAAACAATTATGGCTATGTGAAAAATGTGTAGATGGCATGGCCTAATTGAAGCTTAAAAACTATGGATATATGTTTGTGCCCCTTACTTAGAAAATACACTAAAAGGCTTAAATGGTATAAAAATCTAAACGCAAAGAGATGTGTATATATATCATTTTTTTTTTTTTTTTGTATAAAATCTTTTTTTTGAATGTTCAAAAATATACATCAAAAAGATTTTTTATATACAAAAACAAAAGATTAATGGTTTCTAACCAAATATATGACCAGCAGTATTTAAATGACCAGCAGTATTTAAAATGACCAGCAGTATTTAAAATATAATATATGACCAGCAGTATTTAAATGACCAGCAGTATTTAAAATATAATATATGACCAGCAGTATTTAAAATATAATATATGACCAGCAGTATTTAAAATATAATATATGACCAGCAGTATTTAAAATATAATATATGACCAGCAGTATTTAAAATATAATATATGACCAGCAGTATTTAAAATATAATATATGACCAGCAGTATTTAAAAGAAAAACAGTTTAAAAAATAGACAGTAGCAGGACTAGAACCTCAGACATCCATACATGAAGTTATCCTAATAAGCTAAATGTGTGTATACATACGAGTAAATAGATATAGTTATATATAATAAAAAAAAGTTATACATAAAAGTATACGCATGCATTACACAGATGTTTTAATATAGGGGCAATATATACTTGTTTGTAAGTTCACATGTATCTTTTTTATTCATTTTTGTGAAAACTTAGTTACAAATTTTTAAAGTAACATAAATTATGTTAGCTGTTTCAAAATTTAAAATATATTGTTACTGCAGTAGAAAAATTCAATAAAAATATCACAAATTAAACCCTTGACTTTATTTTTTACAGAATTGAAAAAAATAAAGTCATCTAATGAGCATAAAGTATTTTAACTGGTTTTAACCACTATTAAAAAATTTATTACAGGTTAAGAATATTTAAAAAGCTGTTACTATTTTCTTTTTTCCACTAAAAATGATTAAATGTTATTACATTTTTAAGTTTATAAAAACTAATTAAATTAGGAAAATCATTCTTTGTAATGAAGACTATATAGATTAAGATTGTCAAAAATTAGATTTAAAAAAACTGGTTTTAGATTATTTTTTTTTTTAAATTTCAATTTTAGGTTTTACTAATTCGCCGCAACTACGTTGAGAAGTAAGTAAAAACTGTAATAAAAACATGGGAAATAGTTTACACGTTGGTCCAAAAAATCCTAGTTTTAAGAAAAAAATTCTACATCGTTTTCGACAGCGTCGACCATATTTTGGCGCTGATTTGGGTGCTGCCCAAATTAAAATAATTTTTTTTTATGTATTTCTATGTATTTACTATGAAGAAGGCATTTTTATGTTGAAGTTATCATATAATACTAAATTAATTGTTAAATCTTATTATTAACATTAGATTTGGAAGTATGGGGAGTTTAATATATATATTTGAACTGAATGAATTAGAAATACAAATGTTCATACAAAATGTTGTATTTTTTTTCTTTATTTTTTCAGTACAGTTCTTCAGGTTATCTTTATAATATTATTTTTCAGAACAGTTCCTCAAGTTGTCTTTTGGCAATGGGTTAATCAGTCATTTAATGCTCTTGTCAACTTTACAAACAGAAACGCTAAGTCTGAGATTAGCAACACGTTAGTACATTTGTACATAGTACAAGATTTTTATGATATTTTTAAATATATATATTTTTAGGGCACATTTTAAAGGAAAATATTTGTGGTTTTCCAATTTTGAAATATATTTTAAAAATAATTTAAATTAATAGTTTTTTAAAATGGTAAAGTTGAAATTTAGGACACTTTTCAGCTAACTTTATTTGGATGACCTTAAATATAATCATTTTTTGATAGTCAGATTGGTATTGCATATGCATCAGCAACTAGTGGAGCAATGGTTGTGGCGCTTGGGCTGAATTCTTTAGTAAAAGTAAAAAAAGTTTTATTTTTAGTTTTAAAATAATATTTTCTTATTTAGAATAAATTTTTTAAAAATCAGAATAGATTTTCAAAATATAAATAAAACAGATTTTCTTTTTTTTTTTCTAGTTTTTAAAAAGCCTTTGTATAGGTAGCCTGTGTTGACCTTTTGATACTTGTGAATCCATAACTAGCTCAACTTATTGAACATATACTCTAATAAAATAAGAAATGACCTTTTTTGTATTGTTGTTCTTACTGATGTGAGCTTATTGGAAAATAAAATATTAGCCTTTTTATATAAACAATTAAAAAGTGAATTCACTGTTAATTTGTTTACAACCAGTCACAAATTATTTTTTGTAGCTAATTATGAACAATTTACCTGTTTATACCAAGTTGTAAAAAAAAAGTAGTAATTTGTTATAAAAGATAAAAGTATTTGCTTATACAAATACAATATTGCACTCACACATTAAATAAATAAAAAAAAAAGAATCAAAAAATATTTAAAAAGTATACATCTTTAATAAATGTCTAATCTTTAATGTTAAAAATGTTTTAATTTGTTTGTTTGCATTTTTTCTAGAAATGTTTTAAATTAAGTTTTTGGTTTATTTTTATTTATAAATTTTATAATTACGTTTTTGTAGTATTCATGGTTTTTTATTTTTTTATATTCAATAAAATTTATTTTTCTTAGACAGCACCTCCATTATTGGCTCGCTATGTACCTTTTGCTGCTGTTGCAGCTGCCAATTGCATAAATATACCATTAATGAGACAAAGGTATGTTATTTCTTTTTCTTTTTTTTTTTGAAATATTTCATTACCATAAAATTTTATTTATGTTTTATGTTAATTTAGAGAAATCATAAATGGAATAGCTGTTTATGATGAGAATGGAGCAGAAGTTGGATTCTCTAAAAATGCTGCATATAAAGGAATCATGCAAGTATGTGTTTCCAGAATTACAATGGCTGCCCCTGGAATGTGTAAGTTAAGCTTCATATCAACAAAAAAGTGTTTTGAATTTAGCTTTTCATGTGTTAAATTTTATATATCTTAAATAAAAGGTGTTTTAACATGTAATTGATATTGCTTATAGATGATTATAAAAATTTTATTTAGTGTTGATTCCTTTAATTATGCAGAAACTTGAAACATACCCTTGGATGCAGGTAGTTTAAATTTTTTATGTTTATTATATTACTGTATAATTATTTAGTTCAATTAGATTTACTGTTTTAAACATGAAGCATTACTACATTTTTTTTTGGGTTTGTGTCAAAAGTTAAAAGTATAACATTCTTCATAATAAAAAACAGCGAACTAAATAACACAAGAAAATAGCACAATTAATAACTATTAAAGTTTAAACTAAAGGTGAATCTCTATTTAGTCTGTGATAATTGTGAAGGTTGCTAAAAGACAGTTGCTTAAAGTCTGCAATTATCCTAAATCAAAATCTAGGCCAAAAATTTGAACTCAGGCAAGGCAAAGCAAAAAACAAAAAAGATTTTTTTTAATCTTAGCTGTAGAAACTTTTTATTACATTTTGCAAACATTTCGTTATTTTTGTGATTTTATGGTTAAATCACCTAAACTGAGATTTCTTTTTTTCATATTCTCATCATGAAGTTGTCGTCAAATGTACAGATTATGAAGTTAAAAAAGATTTAGATCTCTAAAAGTTGTTACTTTATATTATGTGTAGTTGAAAGTTCTTGTCTGATTTTTGGATTCATTCAATTCATTTCATCACAAAAATTAGACTCTCGTTACTTCTGAAGAATCTTTAATAGTATCAATAATAAGGGTAAGTCTGTAGTTCTACCTTATTTGCATGCTTTAGACTTTGTCACTTCACCTAAAGACAAAGCTAAATTGTTTGCTAAGAACTTTTCATCAATATCATCTCTTGATTCCACTAGTTGCATTCTACCTGATATAGCCGTCAAACAAGTGCTTATCAGAATCTTGTTTTCCAGCCTGCTGGAAAGCAGTATTTGTTATCACTATTTTTAAAAATTCTGTAAAGCAATCTGATTTGTCTAACTACCGTCCCATTAGTCTTCTTCCTAAGCAAGGTTTTTGAATTTTTAATTAACAAACACTTAATATCTCATCTTGAATCTAATAACTTATTTTCTGATCATCAATATGGATTTTAATCTTTTCGTTCTATGGCTGATTTGCTAACAGTAATAACCGATAGGTTTTATTGTGTATTAGATAAAGGTGGAGAGGTTAAGGCTATCGTTCTTGACATTTCTAAAGCGTTTGATAAAGTTTGGCATGCTGGTCTTCTCCATAAGCTTTTTCTTGTATCTGGTAACATCTTTAAGATTATTGAATCCTTTCCAATCATAGTATAAAAGTTGTCCTTGATGGACAGCACTCTCCTTTTTATTCTGTAACCTCAGGGGTTCCTCAAGGTTCAATCCTTGGCCCTATACTCTTTTTAATTTGCATTAACGATCTTCCAGATATTCTCACATCTAAGGTGGCATTGTTCGTTGATGATAGTACCATTTATTCTTGTCATGATAAGAAGCCAACACACTCTGATTGCTTGAAGGGGTCATTTGAGCTTGAAAAGGATCTTACTTCTCCTACAGCATGGGGCTCACAGTAACTAATGAACTTTAATTCAGATAAAACTCAATTTTTTTTAGGCAATTGTTATCGCAATAATTTAGACCTTCCTATATTTATGAACGGTAATGTACTCTGAGTCATCTATACTTCATCTTCTAAGATTAACTCTTAGTTCCAATCTTTCTTGGAAACCATATATCAAATCCGTTGTAAAATTAGCATCTGATAAAGTTGCATCTCTTTATCAAGCTCAACACTTTCTTACTCCGGTTTCTATTCTCTATCTCTATAAATCTCAAATCCGGCCTTGTATGGAATACTGTTGCCATATCTGGGGCGGATCTTCTAATGATGCCCTTTCTCTTTTAGACAAGGTGCAAAGGCGCATTGTAAACATAGTTGGACCTGCTCTTGCAGCCAACCTTTAACCATTATCGCATTGTCGTAATGTTGCTTCTCTTTCTCTTTTCTACAAATACTATAATAGGCACTGCTCTAAAGAGCTAGCGTCTTTTATGCCATCTACTAAAATTCATTCTCGTGTTACTCGTCATTCAATTAAGTCTCATTCTTTTTCTGTTACTGTTCCTAAGTGCTCTAAAAGTTCTTATTCATTTTGTTTTTTTCCTCGAACATCAGTTCTTCGGAATTCATTTCCTTTATCTTACTTTCCTGATCCATATAATTTGCAATCTTTAAAGTCGTCTGTCAATCGTTATCTTGCTCTACAATCTTCATTTTTTCTCTTCCAGTAACTTCCAACACTAATTAGTGGCTGCTTGCAGCGTTGTTGGAAGCGTTTAAAATATATATATATATATATATATTCTTTTATTTAAAAATCATTAAAATAAAATAGTTTTGATGTATATTATTCTCACCAAACCGCAATGAAAATTTACATACTTACAAAATTTGTATTCCAAAATAAGCTTTCCTTTGATCTTCAAAAAAGATGTTTTGTCAAAAAGTTTATTCATTGGATTATCTCAAGATGTGTACCTCATAAAAACAAAGTATACCAAAAGTCATTTACTTATCAATATGCAATTAAAATTAAAACTATGGTTTCAAAAAGAATTAAATTTTTTTTTTAAATTAATTTATTTACAACAAGGCTGCAAGCAACCACCATTTAAGTTGGAAATTTACCAGAGAACATTGTTGAAGATAAAGAATATTGTTAAAGAGGAAGAAAATGACAGAAGACAAAAAAAACTGTAAAATGTATGAGTTGGGTAAATATGAAGTTTAGAACGAAGCATGGATGTGTGAGGAAAAAACCTTATAAACAAAAGGATACAACTTTGTTGAGCGATGAATCAAGTGAGAATGAGTTTTGTTTGATGGAACTTTTGATGGCGATAGATTGTTTAAGCAGCAATCATAATTTGTAGAAAAGAAAAAGAAATGCAACCTTGTGATGATAGGATGATAGTGTCCGCTTGCCAGAAAGAGTAGATTCAATTACATTTACAATATGTTTTTAGACTTTGTTAAGAAGTGAAATGGGTTATTTAGAAAAATCAGCCTAATATGAACACATTCCATACATGGATAAATAAGTAATTTTTAGAGGTAATGAATGGAGTTGAGCGAAATAAAATAGCGAGCATGATAAGCAATTAAGCATGAGAGGCAACCATAGCAGCTGCTAACTTTGCAATGGATTCTATATATTGTTTTCACGCAAGGTCAGTAGTGAATGATAATCCCAGGAGACATAAAGTAGAGGACTCAGTGGGGGGGGGGGGTGTCATTCATTAATATAGGAATTGTCAACCATATTCCAATAGTTATTTGCAGTAATTAACTGAGTTTTGTTGAAGTTAAAATTCTTAAGTTACTCAAAGCTCCAAACTGTTACAGAAGAGAAATCAAATTCAAAATCTGTATTTTTTTTTAAAAGCAAATAAGAAAGAAGATATTTGGTCGTAAATAAAAGCATTTAACCGAAATTGAGAACTAATTGATTTTTAGTTAGAAAAATAAGTTTTTTTAATAATTTTTTTTTTTTAATTAAAAATGAATTAAAGAAAATAAAGTGTTTTAAGTTTAAACCTTTCATCATATTTAATTAAATAAAAAAGTTATGATAAACTTAAATTATTTAAGTTAATCATAAGTACTTTTTTGATTGAAATATTGCCTAATCATTGATTAGCAAAACTCAGGGCCTAATTCATAACTAGTGTGAAAAGGGGGTTGTCGCCCTTCTTACAACATCCTATCCTCCTTAAGAAGAGGGAAGAATCAATATTAGACTTTAAAAATTATGAAATAAATGACTTTTTAGTGTCAAAGTTGCTTTTTTGAAGTTTTTCCACTACCAATAATTTTTTTAGATTAATCATAGAAGGAACATTGATTAGAAAAATTTAATCATAGAAGAAACATTGATTAGAAATGTTTAATCATAGAAGGAACATTGATTAGAAATGTTTAATCATAGAAGGAACATTGATTAGAAATGTTTAACAAGTTTATGAGTAGCAAACAAATATTTTACCAAAGTCAAGTTTTTTAAATTTATAGTTTAATTATAACTTAAAGTAAAATAATTATTACACTTAGTAAGGTTGGCTATCGTTTAATGCGCCTTAATTGCTTTAAAAAAAAATTAACGGCAACATGTTTTTAATAAAGCAGAATAAACGTATAGCTTATGATAGTTATTTTTTATTTCTTTATGACATTTTCTTTATAAAGGGTTTTATGTTTAAGATGGCTTTCAACAAATAAAATGTTCAATCTTTCTATACTTTTTTTTAAGTTGATCAAATTATCATTATTTATCAAATGAACATTTTGAATAAAAGCAGAGTCACTTTGAAAATTTTTTTAAAATGGAATCTTTCAGTAATTTGTTGTACAGAAACTGCTAAAGAGAATGGAATTACTTATGTTGTAAAAATCTTCTTTAATGTATCTGTGCTTTATCAAGATAATATCTTTGCCAATACCAAAGGAGCAATAAAATCCTCTGCATTACGTTATATAAATGGGACACACAGCATTACAAAAGATGGCGTTTCTCAGCATTTACAAAGTACTGTCCACAGAAATGCAATCCAATTTTCAAATGACCTAAAGGAAAATAAACAAGCAAAAGCAAGCAACAAAAATCAACAGGTTAACAGTCAGCATAAAATAACCAAAAGTAAACTGTAATTAAGCACATAATAGATTTTTTAAACGTTTTAAGAAAAATGATAATAATTTTAAATATTAGTGTAGATTTTATTTGTAACTTTCGTTTTAGTTAAACTGTAAAAGTTAAATAATTGAAAGAAAAATTGTTCTTATGATTTTTAAAGTAGTTTGAAAATAACAATGTGGTACTTGAAATTACTCTAGTGACGCAATTTAACTTTTAACGATATAAATATTTAAGCCAAGTTGAGTTACTATAAAATGCGTTAAGCGTTTTCGTTGCGCAGGGAAATCTCGTAACAAGGCCTGACATAATAAAGAAATATGTAAAAAAGTTATTTACACATGTCACAAATAAAATCCAGATTATTTAGTTTATATATATTCACAGAAGTAATAAATTAATTGATTAGTTGAATATTTTTTTCCACACAGATTAAATTACTATGAGTTAATTAACAGATTTTTAAAAAAATTTAATAAACTTAAAAAAAAAAAAAACATTAAAAAAACCAACTTAATTTAACTAACAGCAATTTGGATAAAGATTTAAAGAGCTCAATCTAGGTTTAAACTTTAAAAATATTCCTTTATATGAGCATCTTTTTTAATAGTAAGGCTTACAAACCAGAAAAAAATATTCCTTTATATGAACATCTTTTTTAATAGTAAGGCTTTCAAACCAGAATAAAATTCCTTTATATGAACATCTTTTTTAATAGTAAGGCTTTCAAACCAGAAAAAAATTCCTTTATATGAACATCTTTTTTAATAGTAAGGCTTACAAACCAGAAAAAAATTATCTAATCTGCCCTGTTGTATCAGCAAATTATTCAATCAACACTATATAAAAACACAAATAGACTTATTAAAATTCATTTGTTGATAAAACTAAACAATAGAGTATAAATTGAAATATAAGTTTCATTCAATTCAGTTAGTTTATATATGTCTATACCCATTAGCGAAGCCATTTCTGCAATTATTGATATATTGAATGATGACATTAATGATTTAAAAACTCAAACTTAACAACTTGGTGTCGACATACGCCAATTATTTGAATTTTGATTAAGTGACAAGGACTACTAAATAAATAGATGTACAAAGTCAATTTCCTGATTTTATGTCAAAAAATTGAATTAATTGAAATATAATTGTAATTTCTTAATTGTACTATATTTGATTGGTTTGATAACTAATCCTTCTTTTTTAAAAAAAAAAATTTCATCTACCCATTGATTTCTGATTAAGAGATAAATTTATTTCTTGGTCTTTTTCTGATTTATGAATTTCATGTTGAAGTATACTTGCCAAAGAACTAATGTCTGGTTTTCTTCATAAAGCGAAATCCATTTCTAACTAGCTCAAATGTACATTAGGGTTATAGCTTTATAGTACTTTTTAGTATCACCAGGTTCCTGTATAAAAAACAGATGAACTTTGGTTTGAAATTGACTAAAAAGTCATTCAAAAGTCATTACTTTTTGAAAAAAATCACCTAAGCATGACCCTTGATTACATGCCAGGTCCTATACATTGTTAAAAAAAATTTTCTTCAAAAGTTTATTAACTTGGATCTAAAAAGAACCAGAATTTTATAAATATTTCAAAGTTCGTGATTTTTTAAAAAAAACTTTTGAAAAAAATTGTCAAGTTTTATTAAAAATAACCTTATTAATTTTTGTTAAAAATGTAAATATAAAATTAATATATTAATTTATTGTTTAACTTATTATTAGTAATTTATTGCTGTTTAAAACAATTTTTTCATTCAGAAACCTCATTAAATTCAGTTTTTTATTTTTGAGACCCAGGTCAGTATACTATATATTAGATTGATATAGAAAATCTTTTTACTAATATATGGGACCTAGTGTGTAGTCAAAGGTCATGCTAGGTTATCTTTTCAAAAATTAAATAAAACCAATAATAACCATTGCAATAAAATACTTGTCAGTTCATTGGGCTGGTTTTACAATGTTCTGAGATTTTTAATCACAGGGAATTAATTTTTTAAGTGTATTATTAAAGTTGTTTATATCAATATTTTTTATTTTTTTATGTGCTTTTATTCATAATACATAATAAAATTATAAAAACAATTAAAAAATAATGATATAAATAATAATAGTAAGATATTTAAAAAAAAAAAAAAATTTACTTGCTAAATTCTCAGAATATTAAAAATTTAAGTTAAAACTTTGTCATATCAGCATGTCAAGTTGTTGTTAGTCAGTCTGCATGTCAAGTTGTTGTTTTTCAGTCTGCAACTTGTCAGTAAAGATATAAGCTAATTAGACTCCACATTTTTTCCAAGTATTACAATTTTTTTACCTGTCATATGAATTGTAGAAATACGTTTGTTGCTAGAAAGTCTCATATCATAAATGCAAATTTTAGTTGAATTGATGTATCTTTATGATTGATTGAAGCTTTCTTAATAGGTTGTCCATATTCTGATTCTTCTACTGATTCCAGAAAGAATGCGGAAATACTTTTAAAGGTAGAAAAGACATCACAAGTCTCTATAAAAAAATTAGTACTTGTGGATTGTCTATAGACTATATATTCTATTTTGATTCTACAGTCTCTTGCAAAAGTTTAGAATCATTTAAGCATTTTTTAGGTTAATCCATAATTTATTGAAAATGACATACACAAATGACATACACAAATGACATGCACAAATGACATGCACAAATGACATGCACAAATGACATACACAAAGCTAAGATTTAGTTTATGCTATATACACACATGTATGTATGCATATAACATAAATAAATTAGATATTGTTTTGATTTTGACTGATTGGTTGTTGTCTCCAAATCTTTTCTTTTTGCAAAAGTTGTTGTCTCCCATTCTTTTCTTTTGCAAAAGCATTAACAATATTTCTATAATCTATTATCTTCTAAATGTCTCACAGCTCTTTTTAGTAAAAAATTGTTTCTTTAAATTTAAGAATATTATCATTGAATATTGTAACAATATTTTAGCATTCTGGAGTTACAGTCTAGAGAGATAAACAATAGCTGATGTTGTTTAAATATTTATGCTATATTTATATAGTATGTAATTTATTTATAATTAAATTGTTTTAGATATCCACTTTTTTCAAGAATAATATTTTAGGCATTAGTAATTTATTATTAAACATTTCTTTAATTTTTTTGCTATTTAAATATAGTTGGTGTTACAACATTTTACTTTGTTTAGAAAATAAAACCGCTGCATGCTCCTTTACAAGTGTTACTGTGTGGCATAAGGTTTTTAAGTTTGTTTTTTTTAAATATTTTTTATGTGTTTACTTTTTGTTATTCTTAAAATTTTTTTAAAATTAAATTTAGCTTAACCTTCATGGTACCTGCAGCTTGTGCAATGTTTCCTCAAAGAAGGTACCATATTTATATATACAGTAATCTTTATTTATCTATGTGTTCTATTTTTCTGTATTAGTTGCAATCAAATCTGTTGACATGTCATATGAATGCAAAGAAGACTTTTACTAATTTTTTTAAGTTTTTAATTATAAAAAGGGATCTGAGGAAATGACAAATTTTCAAAATTGAGGAGAGTGAGGGAAAAAGTCCCCATAATATCACTTAAGATAGCTAACTTCAGACAAAAAAAATTTACAAATTTTATTATAAAGAAAGAACTGTTTGCGCTCCATTGTAGTCTTTAAAAATCAATAGTGTATATAGAATAATTCTATATAATACATATCTTGTATCTCTCCTGGAGCGAAAGTTATTATTGTATACGCAATTACAGTTATTGTTGATGTTGGTAATTTCATTGTGTTTTTTGCTTGCTCTCATTGACCTTTTTTTTCTATTTAATTGGATTTTTATGGCTAAATAATATTTGTGTTATTTGTTTAGCTGTAAATTTTAGAATAGAAAAGCTTTTTTGAATAAAAAAAATAAGTTTAGATTTGGGTTTTTGTGGAAGTATAAATATTTCAGATTTGGTGAATCAATAACCACCAACTCCTATCATAATGATCACCACCTATCACAATAACTACCAGTTTATTTATATATTGTTTTAGTTACAAATATTTGGCTATTATATATAATTTTATAGTTGTAAAAATAACTAGACAGCACATATTAAAACATTATTTTTTTTTTTTAAAAAAGTACAATTAAATGTAAAATGTTATTCTTTTTTGCACCAAAAAGTAATGTAAAATATTAATGATTTTTTTCTCAATATTTTATCACAAAAAATTCTACATTAAAATTTTTGACTAAATGAAAGTATTTAAAAACAAAATAAATAAATATTTGTAACACATTTTTTACTGAACAAAAGTTTTTAAGTTCAGTAAAAAATGTGTTACAAAATAACAAAAGTTTTATAAATATTTTATAAAGTATTGTACAAGAACATCACTCAATTTTTTTTGTTTCATATGGTGTATCTGGGAAAGTTTTTGAGATTATCAAATCTTTTCTTTGTAACCACTTTATTAAAGTCATCCTCAAAGACCAGCACTCTTCTTTATTTCCAGTAACTTCTATGGTACCTTAAGGTTCTATCCTTGTTCCTATTTTGTTTATCTACATTGATCTTACTGACAACCTAACATCTAAATTAGCTCTTTTTGCTGATGACTTAACTTTATATTCCTGTCTTGACAGATCAAGAAAGTCTTCTCTTTTCGATTGCTGAGAACAGGCAGCCAATCTTAAATAGCAGGCTTTGATATTAGTCAAAATCTTTTTACAACGGTTTCTAGCTATAGTAAACAGATGTCTGTTTTCTAAAGAATTGTTTTGAAGATAGATATGGAAGTAATGGTTAGGATTGGAAATTGCAGCAGCACAATGACAGGAAAACCATGGAGAATAGTGAGGCTTGACTTAGAATCGTTGACAGGGAATAAAAGATTGCATGCCAGCCTGAATCCAAGATGTTACATAAGAAGCATATTTGTCAGCAGGAAGCCAAAAGATTTCAAGAGCCATTACAGAGAAAATTAGAGAAAGAGTCCCAGTCAGCTTTAAGGTAGCTGTAAGAGGTGCAATGGTAGGGGGATTCTGATGATGAAGAAGAATGAGATAATAGTTTTAGTAAGATCAACTAATGATCAGAGGCACCTAAGGGTGAATGTAAAGAAGCCAAGCACTGACTAATTTAGAAACAAGACACGAGTCGAGTAGAGAAGGTAAATGTTTCAGATTGTCTGGAAAGCGAGTTGGAAAGTTGACCATTTGTTTTAGAGATTGAGAAACACAAGTATTGTTGGCCTTAGAAGAACCAAGCTAATCAGTGTGGTGTACATTAAAGTGACCACCAACGTTGTTGGCTGAAGAATAAAAAGAAAAGTCTTGGTCGATTTGATCACAAATAACATCAAAAAGTGCGTCTTGAGATGATGCAAAGTGATATAGAACAAAGAAAGTGAGTGAAGTAGTGCAAAATGAAAGCACATAAGAGAATAGTTTGTGGATTCAAATCTAGTTTTCTGAAAATGGGTGAATTGTTATGAATGTAAATGCCCAGGCCAAGCATGTGATTATTGTTGTCTTTACAGATTATAGGAAGATAAACATCGACACTAAGATCACAAGATGAGACAGCTGAACTTAAATTAGTCTCACAAAGAGTAAGTAGGTCTGGTGAACTTGGCAAAAGATAAGACTCAACATAAGAAAAGTTAATTCCAAGACCACCAATATTAGTGAATGATTTAGAGAACTTGGAAATGATAATGGTTTTTTGCATTTTATAGTTTTTGATACTTTAGTCATTTTTAAATTGGTTTAAGAACTTGACTCAAAGCATGTGTAGTACTCAGTACACTATCTAATAGTCCAAGCAATTTAGTACTCAGTACACTATCTAATAGTCCAAGCAATTTAGTACTCAGTACACTATCTATTATTCCAAGCTATTTAGTACTCAATACACTATCTAATAGTTAAAACTGATTCCATCAATAGTATCTAATAGCTATTGATGGAATCAGCCTCTCTGAGAGCTACCACAGAGTTCAGAAAACCTGAATACCTGCCATCCTTAGGACCATAAAACTGAGTTTTAGAGCTGTAACCTTATTAAGGGATAATATAATAAATTGTTTAGTCTTAAAAAAAGAAACACAAGCGAAACCCATGCAATGAGTCAAGAAGATCCATCATTTAACACTCTAAACTGGAACAATGCATTATAAATTCAATTTTTTTTTTAATTCACCTCCCCAAGGCCATAAAGGCCACCACAGTTCAGAAAGCTACTTTTAGTTGTGGTTACAACCCTCTCTCAACTCAATAACTCTAAAATGTGAACCTTGACAAACAAGATCACTGCATGGAGAAACGTTGATATGCACCTGACATTGGCACCAGCCTAATAGATGAAGAAGGTGTGAGAGACTGGTCAACAGATAGATTCTGTTTATCCCTTAATTATTTCCTAGGAGGCCTTCTGATGGAGGCCTTCTACTAACTGATGCTACTCTACTGCTACTCAACAAGCTTCGAAAAATTTTGCTATTTATGTATTTTTCAAAACAATCAAACTGGAAAATTTAAAATTGATAATAATGGAGTTAAAACCAAAATGTAACTTTTTTTTCAATTTTTTTTTTCCCTCAATTAACTTCCTAAAGCCAGTTGACAAGGCTACAAAATTTATCCTTGAATTTTTGTTTCAAAATTGCGTTTTTTCAAGAAAAAGCTTGTAAAATTATTTAATTGTTTTAAGTTGAGGGGAATAATCTAGGAGTAATTTATAAGGTAGGTATGGGCATTAAGGCCCACCTAACAAACTTTGGTCATCTAGGCCTTAAAAATTAAGTTTAAAAAAATATTTTTGATTGTTGCATAAGATTAATCATTCCTTGATGTAAAAAAGATATCTGCATATTGAGAAATTAATTATAACAAAAGTTATTTATGTTTTTTTAACATGCCTTAAGTGGGCCTTATTACCCTCCTAGGGAGGTAATAAGGCCCATGTAAAAAATACAAAAAATAAAGAAAGAAAAAACGGAAAAAAATTTAGGAAGCATTCTTTTAATGCATAGTTCATCTCACATTTATAAAATAATAAGTAATCTTGCATATTTATATACTTTAAAAGAACCAATTTTTTATACAACAGTAAATAACAACAGAAAATTAAAATATTCAATAAAAAAATGTTACAAAGAAAATCATTAATATTTACAGAATGGACATACTAACTCTTCCTCATCTTCAGAATCGTACCCCATGCACGCCTCATGGTACCATACTTTACATTTACAACATTGTCACAGACTTTTGCTGGCACAGTGAACAAAATCAATCATTCACATCCAAACTTACAGACTTACTTTTCTTTACATTTGCTTTTATTTGCCTTTCATTTTCCTTTGAATAACTTTAGTTATTATTTTTAAGTAAAGTATTAAATCATTACTTACTTTTTAAAGTATAAAATCAGTCAATTTCAGTCAACAACGTTTTTGTTATTATTATTTAACAGCGATTTCATTTGTTTACACTAAACTAATGTTTGTTGTTTATTGTTTGTTTTGATTACTTTTCTTAACGATTTCTTTTATTAACGCTAAACTAAAGTTTAGCGTATTTCTTTTATTATTACCACTCACATTGTGTTTGGGCTTTATTACTTGGTTTTTAGTGGGCCTTATTACCCGCTTTAGACCTGCTACATTTATTGATAAAGTATCCTTTTGTTTCAACACGTGTATAAATATTACATGTTGAGTAATGATAACTAATAGATACTTAATTCAAATCAATGCTCTTAAAAAAAATAGAACCATTATAAAATATTTAAAAATGTGAAAATATGTACCTTAAAAATTAGACTTGAGCAATAATTGACAAAACCAACAAAGTAATCTCGCTTTGTCGAACACACGGTTAAGAAAGGCTAATTTTTTTTTTGCTGCCAGTGATATAACCAGATAACTCTAATATTTTCATGCTAAAAAAAAGTTTCACATTATATAATATCCCATAGTTTGGACTCGTGGGCCTTATTATCCTCTGGGTCTTATGGTTTTCCCCATCCCAACTTAATAGTGATTGCTTCCAACCTTGTTGGGAGTGAATCAAAATAAAAAAATTGAAAAAAAGAAGTCTAATTACTTGATGAAGATGAAAGTCTTTTTCTAGAAAGATTGTATTAGCTATTTCATATTTAGCATTTGTAATGTATAAAGTAAATAGGAATAACAAAGAAAATTAAGCACACCATACTTTCATTGTAAAGTTAAAAATAATAATTCATTGAGATTAAATATATGCATTTAATAAAGTATTTTTATTGTAATAAAGAATTCATATGTCCTTTTAATTTTTCTTACCTTCTGGTAGGAAAAACTGAAAGCAAAAAACTGCAGGAATTAGAGTAACAGGACCAAAGTTATTTCTTCCGTGGGCATCTCAAAAAATATGTACAGGGATCAGTCACATAAATACACATACAAAGTAATTATATATTTAAAAAAGTAACTATACATAAAAAAAATAATTATATATAAAAAAATGTTATATATAAAAAAAGTTTTAACATTAGTTGAACACAATGAAATTCAGCATCCTTTAATCGTTAATTACTCAAAAATAGTTAAGAATTTTTTTTTTTTTTTTTTTTTTTTTTTGTTGCACATTGAAACTAATGTGTTGTTGTTTGATTGTAAATGATAATAAGTGAATATATATTTTTATATTGATATATGTTTACCGATTGCATAGGCTCTTTTTTGTGGTATTTGGTGTCATTGGTCATATTTACTTAAAACCATTAAAAATTTATACCAACTTAAAACCATTAAATCTTTATGTTCTTTATTCCAAATTTATTTTAGTTATTGGTCTAGTAATTGCTTTTAGGTATTAAAAACAATCATTAATTTTAACGAGTTGGTATTTTAGTTGATATTTTTTTAGTTTAATGATGTTGTTTGAAAATGAAAAAAACTAAACAATTTTTTTTTTTGAAATTTTTAGGGGCATCCTGTATTTACTTTACTTGACTATAATTTTTCTATTTTGTCGGATAAGAAATATGAAACATTTCTTTTTTCTTTTACAACAAAGTTTTTAATTTAAAAAAACGCTGTGTCTGTCGCTTTAATTTTTTTCTTCGCGTTAGTGATTTTTGATTGGTTGATTTTTTTTTTCTTTTTAAAGAATGATGCCCAAACCAAAACCCTTAATCGATGTATATGCGCTCCACGGCGCCTATCCCTAAATCAGTCAGTGTATGTACACTTATTGCGCCTATCCTTAAATCAGTCGATGTAAATACACTCACTGCACCTATCCCTAAATCAGTAGATATAAAGACAGTGGATGTAAATACACTGCGCCTATCCCTATATCAGTTGATATATGTAAATAATAAAAATCAATGTAACTTTTAATATACAACAATAATAAATAATATACAACAATAATAATTTTTAATAAAAATAACTTTAAAAAAAAATAATAACTTTTAATAAAAAATAGTTAAAAAACATTTTAAAAAATTTTAAGTGTAGGACTCGATCCTGGACCAACATAGTAGATGAGCTAATGATATACCACAATGCTAAACGTACAATATAATGTTGCAATTCTTTTTAAGTTTGTACAAATAAAACTTTGTGACTTAAAATAAACCAATCAAACTTTAGTACCGTGGCTTTAAGATAAAAAATTAATAAACAACGGTACCGTTTCGCTAGACACGACGTTAAAAAAATTATATTTTTAATTACTTTATTTTAGCTCGCTTGAAGTTGGTTATTTAGACCCACACCTGCAACAGTTGCTATCTCAACGAGGAATTAACACTGTTTATTTTAATAAAGGCTTATAGACATATATATATATTTTTTTTTTACTTTAAATTTTTAATGATATAACATTTAAAAATAACCTTTTTAAGTTACTAGTATTTTTTTGCATTTCACTTCTCAGATTATTTAAAGATCAAAGTTTAAAGATATTACAGAACTTACTTGCTATTTACGATAAGCCGCGATATTAGCTGCCATATTAAATATTATTAAAATAGTTTGTGCTTTTTACGGAGTGTTGCATTATTTTATCTATTTGTAAAGTCTAAAAACAAAGGGACAAGTTAAGCTAGTTTTTTACTTCTTTTTTCCTTTTTTTTAAGACAATCGTTTTTTATGTTAAATGTGATTGTTTGCCTCAATATCCCAGTAAGCATAAGACGTATTTTAGACGTCTAAATAAACGTAATACATATTAATACGTAATTTAAGAGTTTTAAAAACTTCTTGTGCCCATTGGGATGCTGATCGTTTATGATAAAAAGTGTTTTTTGTTTTTGTTTTTAAAAATAACAATTTTTTTTAGTTTATTACTCTATTAGCTGTTATTAAACAAAATAATTTTTACAAATGTTTGTAAATGTAATTATTATTATTTTTTTGCTATATGAAAGTAAAGGTTATGTAATTAATAGCATTAACTTATGCTCGAATACTCGGTGTAATTAAGGCGATTTACAAAATATTCGAATACTTTTATTTGGAATTAGCATAATTTTGTCAGCATATTATGTCCAAACAAGATTTTTAAATGCTATAAATTCTTTTGCTTAAGGTTTTTATAATATTTAAAGAAACTTTTCTTTTTTTATATAATTTTCAAAACCTTTTTACTACCCGTAATAGTGTACCTAAAGAACACTATTTTGAAGTCTTTAGATCAATTCCCCTCATCGGCATTAATATGAATTTAGTTAAAATCTTTTGAAAAAGTTTCTTAATTTACTACTGATCCTAGTTCTAATCGGTTCTGACGTATATTAACTATATATAGTTGTTAAAACACAATATTTCTATCAATTTTCACAAAAAATACTGGAATTCCGACCAAGAAAGAGTTTATAATTATGGAAAATTGCCAATAAACGATCAGAACAAATCATATTAAACTATAATGTTCATTTCACCTAAAAAACTTGTTAATATAAAATGTTATTTAAATTTGGACGAGCGATTGTAATTTTAAGATGATTTAAAAAAAAAAAAAAGAATCATCGGTATGGATTTTTTCGCTACAATCATTTATACCGCAAAGTTTATCATTTCAGGTTCGTCTTTTCATAATTCACAGACCAGACCATTTAACGGAAAAATGTCGCAGTTAACAAAATATCATACAGATGCTCTATTATTTTAAAAGGGTAGGCTCTCTTGTCAAACCCTTATTCCGACGCTGTCCTTAAGGTCCGAAAATGTAAAAAAACGACTTCATTTAAAAGAGAACCTACCCACCCCAAAGCCTCAGTCGTTGTTTACACACTCCGCTGCATGTTCTCTCTAAAAATTAGTTGGTGTATGTGCGCACCGCTGCGCAAATCCCTATATACCCTATTTTGCCCTTTTCCTAGAAACACGAGTTCGCGGACGCAAAGGACGCTCAACGTCGGAATAGGGGTTTGACAAGAGTGCGTTCCTTTTAAAAGTGCCTTACATACACCGAGTAACGCCTATATCAGTTCACTAACAGGAAGTTCAAAAGATTTATATATGAATAGTAAAAAATTACCAAGCTCATGTAATACTTTAAATCAGCAATTAATAAACTTGGCAAATTAAAGCAATTAATAAAGTTGGCAAATACACAATTACAAATCCGAGTAATTAACCTCATCTTAACAAATGTCTCAAAATATTTCTGTCAATCGAAATAGGTTTATCAAAGTATTTTTGTCAATCAATTGGAATCGAAAATAGGTTTATCGAAATATTTCTTTCAATCGATTGAAATCGAAATATCCAACGTTTAAAAAAATTGTAATCTTGATCTTGAGATGTAATTTTCTTAAGTAAAAACAAAAAACATAAATAAAAAGAAAAATGATAAATTGAAATTTTTAAAATGACTCAATAGAGGAAATAAATAAAAAAAACCCTGCAAAATATGTGCTTAATGAGTTGGTCTAGACTTATAAATCGTTACCGGTGAAAAAAATTATTGCGTGGGATTCCATACCAAAACTAAACATGATAAAATGTTTATTAGATTTATAGTATTGTTTTATGCATAGCAACATTAGCTATTGTAATATTGCTTGGGCAAGTACTTACCCTTCAGCATTGAAAAAAATATATATTAAACAAAAACAAGTCAGTGGAGTTATATTTAATGTGCATAAATAGGCCCACTCCAACCCGTTACTCCGGGAAATTAAAGCTCTTAATGTCTATGAGTTAAACGTGTTCCAAAACTTGTTATTCATGTTTAAATATCAAAACAACATGCTTCCAAAATCCTTTAATAACCGATTTGTAAAAATTAATCATAAGTACCTAACAAGGTGCTCTATCTATAATTTTATTTTACCTAAGTCAACTCTTAAAATATCTGATTGCTCAATTTCATATAGAGGCCCTCGCCTGTGGAACATAGTTCTTAATGAAAATATGAAAAGTATAACTTCAATAAATTGTTTTAAAAATATAGTTAAACAGTATTTACTTGATTTAACAGACGCAAACATATTTTTGCATTTTTAAGTAAAAAAAAAAAAAAAAAAAACTTGTAATATTTCTTAATATATCTGATTATTTATCTTTTGCAATTAATGGTATTCTTGTTGTAATAATGTGTTAACTTGTTTTTAAATAACGAGTATTTGTAAATTTATATAATGAGAAATTTGTTAAAAGTACTTTACGCTTACTATAGGGGCTTGATGACAAGACTTTTATCTTCTACTTGCTCCTATATATATATATATATATATATATATATATATATATATATATATATATATATATATATATATATATATATATATATATATATATATATATATATATATATATAATATATATATATATATATATATATATATATATATATTTATATATATATATATAAAGAACATAATAATAATCAAAATCAACCAGGGATGTAACTATCACTTATTCTTTTTATTTGCTAATTATCCATGAAACTTTTTTAACTGCCCTCAGTTAAATAACTAAGTAAGAAGTTTGATAAATTTAAGACAAAATTAAATTTACTTTTAAACATATATTTTTATACTATTTTTGAGACTAAATTTTTTATAAAATATTGCAGGAATGATTAGAGAATACATTTTTTAAAAAAATATTTTCTTTTCAGTTATGTGGTGGTACACAAGTGATCATTTTAAATAATATTATTCGCCGAAAAGTGGAGAAATGGCTTAGATCAAAAGGGATGCTTTGGCGCATTATTAACTGATCTCTCAAAAGCTTTTGATAGCATCTTTCTAAAGTTTCTGATAGCTTATTTCATGCGTTATCAATGTCAAATATGATAATTATTGTTTTATCCCAAACAGCATGATGTTTTTTTTGTAATTTTTAATTTTTTTATTTGTGGTGCGCCAAGAAGTTCTTACTGTCTGATAAAAAGAAACCACTTGAGACAATTAAAAAAGATGTGGAATTTTTTTTTGTTCTTCTTTACAATATATAAGATAAAGTATAAATTAAAAAAAAAGCGAATACTCGAAAAGACCATCAGGTCTTGTATGTGACAAGACCTGATGGTCTTTTCGAGTATTCGCATTTAAAAAAATGAATTTTACCAAATCCTTTGTATTTGTGCGCTTAACTTTTTTACAATGGATAAAGAAAGAAAAACCTTTTTTACTCCTTACCTTTATGTTAACTTCCCTTTTCCAGTAACTTTTTGCAAATCATTGATTTATTTGCGTTAAGGCTTTTATGTAACTTGCGTTTGAATTGGCAAGAGCTAAAAACATTCTTTTGTTGTACTGAAGTCATTACAGATTCGTATGTTCACAACAAAATTTCATCAAATAAAAAACGCACTCTATCTCTACGATTATTTTCTCACTGCAATTGTTTGAGCACTTATACGCTTTCTTTCAAGAGTCAAATAATGTTCAGAAAAAATGATTGGTGAACTAAATATGCATCCAAAAAGCAGGGTGTTTTAAAAAGGGCCTTGTGGTCCTTCTCCAGTTCGTTAATTTTGGAGTCAAATTCAAAACTGAACGCTGAAGAATCCGTCAATATGTTGAGGTTTGATGCCATGATTTTTTTTTCGGCTATAAAAAAAGAGCTTAAAAAAAGATATCATAAAAAGATATAAATTATTCATAGGCTATCAAATCTTAAATAAAACCTCTTTTCCATGTTGTAGCAATTTCAATTTTAAAGGTACTCTTTCCTCGCCTAATGGGTACAAAAGCAAAGAAATAAAAAACCAATACAGAAAAGTTAGCACTGTTACTGGACTAATTTTAAAATCTTGACAAAAAAAAATGCTAAATTAGAATTCAGTATGAACATGCTGAATTACGTCACTTTACGCTTTTTTAAATTCATTTATAAAATTATAGCTGAATTCTAAAAGGTTTGACATCATCATATTACACTTGGTTTGACATCATACATAAAGAGTAAAAAAAAATTTTTTTTTTTTTGATCTGGTTTATTTCTTTTTTTTTTTTTTTCTTTCATTTTTGAACCATAAAATTATTCAAATAGATAATTCACAATTTTAACTTAAGAAAAAAAAGTATAAACATATATCTATATCATATAAAACTGGTATGATTGTGATGGTGAAAGTTAAAGAGTAAAAAAATCTGAAATTAAGAGAGTTTACTTTAAAAACGATGCATTATTAGTACTTGAACGGTAAAAACAAGAAAAGTTAGTGCCTTGTGCATTTGCTTCAATAGAAAATAATGTTCTTAAAAACAGCAGTTGAAGTAGTTGAGGCAGATTTTTTTTTTTTTTTTGTAGTTATTTAGGTGTTCCCAGAAGTCCTTGCGGTCTTATCACAGAGCACCGCGGGAGAGCATTTAACGGAAGGTTCACGCCTTTTTCCGTACCAATGTCGCTTGTTGGGCTCGAGCTGGCGTCGAACCTGGGACCTCTGGGTTCTGAGCCAGAACTCTAACCACTGCGCCACGGCTGCTCATTTTAAAAAAAACTTTATTTTTTTCTGTTTAAATCTGACAATATATTTTTAAACTAAACAATATACAAATAGGAAGTTAGTTTAAAATTCTTCGTAAGATGTAAAACGTCTGTAAGATGTCTATACAACGACTTTTCACAAGTCTGTCGAACGCAATGATATATTAAGAATAACTAGATGTCTAACAGCCGTAAATCGGTATAAGTAAAAGTGAAGCAAAAATCGGCTATTGTTGGGGGGGGGGGGGGGGCAAAATCTTTATCAAAACTATTTATCAAAACAAAACAAATACGAAGCTTAAAATTGTTTAAAAATTTAATCAATAAAAAATCGATACACAGATATCTGAAAAATTAATTAATTAATGTTATTTTGATTTAAAATTAAATAATTATGTAAAATATGCATTGTTTTTTTAAACATTTCAAAATCATACTTATTTCATTTTTTTTTTATTTTAAAATTTAAATTTGTATGATTTTAAAATTTAACATTCAACTAAAATCTTAGATTTAATTGGATTTTAATCTTTAATCTATTAACATTTTATGCACCTGTTAGTCATTAATTACCCTCTGCAGTAATGCTAGGAGGTATTATAACATAACTGCAAGGTAAACAGAGTTAAAACTTATAATGAAACATTTTATAAAACTGTCTTGACTATAAACTGTGTGACACAACTTAGAGGTTCCTTCTAGAAATGTTAGAACTTTATTTATGGTTAAACACTTCTTGTTATCATAAAAATCATTATTACTTTTTTCTATAATTGATTTACCGTCAATTAAATAAATTTAATTCAATGTTATGTTATATCTAGTAAGGTTTTCAATACCAAAGGTATTCAGGTATATAAAGAATATCTTTCCTTTGAAAAGCGAGTTTTTCAATATAAACAACAAATCAAGAAAAGTAACAGTTAATAAAATTTAATTAAATATTTTTATTTATATTATTTTCATATATACACACAATATCAATATCAAAGTTAAAAAAATCTGTTTCAGGATTTGAATAAATTGCAGATTTTTTACTCCACTTTAATGCAAAAATAAAGCCATTTGCAATATCCTCAAATGTTAAACAATTTGCATGTTTTGAGCCTACAATAGAATTGCGCAAAAGAATTCTTTTTAATGATGACTTCTGGATTATTATTCTGGATAAGTTAGATGACATCTGGATTATTATTAAATCCATTCATTCCACGAATACAAGAGAACAATAACTCAAGATGATCTTGTGAAAATTTCTGTTGGGCAAAATCTCCTTCAGCATGCTTGAAATATGGATATTTGGAAAACATCAGAAATTTAATTGCATCTGCAACTGAACTACTAAGTGTTTGTGCAGCAAACTTAACATTTGTTTTGTGACGCTGGAAAAAAACGTTTTATTGAGATTTTATTTGCAAATTTCAATCCTTCTTCTTCTTGTATTTCATCTAAAGCTTTTATATAACTCCATTTAATATATTTTCCATCACAATCCTTAAGTACCTCTAAATCACATAACGCATTTCTAGCAAATTTTAGCATATGAGTACGGTCAAGGATTACATACAAGTAGTGATTATAGCCTTCAAAAGTAAATCTTCCATTAATTTTATTTAATCTTTTCCCAAATGCACATCCTAGTGATTGAACAGAATTAAAGTTAACATTTACACCATCAAATGTAATGCTACATACATTAACTTTTTTTATCAGAAGAAATTGTTAATGCTTTTTTAATAAGACATGAAAGGTTTTCAGCTGGTATTTTACTACACAGTATGTAGCCAATAAGTGTTTTCTAATGACCTCATAATCCTAACAGCATAAATACTAATGCTTCTGTAGCTGGTGAAACTGGTTCAATTGCAACAATATCTTTTCCATAATCTGTAAAGTCAATGAAACAACCTCTCTTTTTATCATTTAGAACTCATGTTTTGATTGCCATTGCATCTATAATTAATGCACAATCTTTATAATTAATGTCAGTCTCTGCTTTTATACTAATATAACTTAAAACATCTTCAAAAAAACCAGGTTCACAATCTACAGAAGAAGTCCAGTTGGCTAAAGAGCTTGAAGCAGGTAAATGAAGTATAGGTCGTAGAAAATTGTATGCTTGAGGTGAGTAAAAATGAAAGAATTATTGCAAATTTTTTTTATTTCATCAGTATACCTATGCCCTTTTGGAAATGAAGTACAGTTTTAAAACTGATTTTTTATAATATCAAAAATCAATCCACTAAAGTTTTCACAAAGAACATTAGCAGCATCTTCAGAAACAATTTTTTTTTTGCTTAGATTTTTTAGCATAACCTTTAATGAATTTTTTTTTTTCTTTTCGTCGCAACATTTGTTCATAGGAATAAATGTTTCACGTTTTATAGCAACAATTCACTTTTTAGAGCTCTCTATTATTAATTGGAAATTTATGAAATGCTCTGTTGTCGTTTTTCATTGCTCTATTTGGGCAGCCTGCTGCAGCACAAGAAATACCAAACAACCGTGATTTATTATTTTTAATTTGCCCCCCATAATGGCCGATTTTTGCTTCAAAAAATACGCGGAAGTTAGACATCTAGTTATTTTTAATATATCATTGGTCGAACGTCCCAACCAACATTCTGTGTTAACCGGGAAGTTCCAAAAGGATAACTAAAGTGAGTCATTTTAGGCTGCACCGGGAAGAAGTCCGGTAAACTTCTAGTTTTTAAAAATAAGTTTGGTACCAGGACTCTGATCCTGCACAGGACATTTATCTCGACAATCTAAAGTTAGCTGCGTTTTAAAAAGTCATAGTTATTTAAATATTTGAATTAACTGTGGTTGATTATATGTTATTTAAATTGAATATTTTTTTTT